TATATATATATATATATATATATATATATATATATATATATATATATATATATATATATACATGCATTCTATTATGACATTATGACATTTACCCATAACCTATAACATGACAGTACTCTAATCCCTATAATATATATAAATGAACTCACTTGTGATTAGAGCTTAACAACTGGCCTCTGTAGCTCAGTTTTGTTAGAGCATGTTGCAACTAACAAAGGTTTACTTTTGGGCTTATTCACTTCAATACAAAGTAATTCAAGAGCATCGATCAACAGCAAGATCGTCACGGATACTATACAGTATATTTTTCCTATTGTAAGTTGCAACCCCACCTCCATTCCTATTCTGAACATGAAAGTCTTATGATATCATAGCGAGGGATCTCAACTTCGCAATCCAATATGCTATACTACCAGTCTAGTTTCATTGATTGTTAAAATATCGAAGGTTTGTCTTGCATATATACTATAAGTTCATGATGGTGTTTCACCAGACTTGCTATATTTTAATTTGGCCTACTTTAAAACCTTCAAGTTTAGAAAACGCGGAGAGCTTGTCATTGAGTACTCGCCGTAAACATGACTATAAAATAATACTAACAGGAAATCACACTTGTTCTCGAAGTATTAATGAAAAATCGCACTTGTACATCTGTTATAAATATTTCGTACACTCGTACATCTGTTATAAATATTTCGCCCGAAACACGTGTGCGATTTTTCATTAATTAATACTTCTCGAAACGCGCCAAAAAATATTTGAGAGGAGACTCGACAGTAAAGCGATAAGAACAACTTTAAAGGTAGCCTTTAATATAACTATGAGATACGATAATACAACAACGAGGCCAAGACGTGCTACATGAATATAACATGCAGTATATGTCGCCTGAGCGCGAACAAGATCGCAGGCGCATATAATGCTTAACAATAACAATGTCAACTAAAAGCAAAACTATGGCGTGACTACTTTTTGTCTGTCTTTCTCTCCATTTTGTTCCGAGAATGTTAATGTAAAACAATATAAATTAAAGCTATAAATGTTCAACTATGTGACAAAGTCCTGCAGGTGAACGGGAGAATGGCGTTGGCGACTGGAGCGTCGAGGGGCAGAATTAGGTGACTCTTCGGATGCAGCGGGGGTGAAGGGTGACTGGCAGGAGCTAACAAGACTAATCGTGAGTTCGTCAGCTTTATGAGACGGGATGCGTTTGTGATCAGGACCAGGCAAACAAGTGGTGTGAGATGAGGGTAAAACACAATCATCGTTGTAAGGTGGATGGGATAACTCTTCCGGGACTCGAGGTGGACAGGGGGGCTTGGGTTCAGCAGCTGGAGTGCACTTGTAAGGTTGGTGGAGATGAGGACTTGGAGGTGGAGAAGTGAAATTGTTGGTGACAAGAAAGCACTCTGATAACTTGATGCGATATGGCGAGGATCGGAGTTGGGAACCAGCAAACTTGCGTACATTACACCACGGACCATCAATTGACACAACCAAGTATCGATCTCGTGCACGAGTTTTGGAGCCATCTGAAGTAATATATACTAGGTCACGTTGACCACTGGGGGTTTCAAAAGACTTCTCACTGGCAGGGTGATTATGTATACGGTGAGAGTGCTGTTCTCTGATTAGGTGTAGGTCGGAGATGGGAAGTTGCGAATTCGTAAACTGGTCACGCTGGTACCACATCTCACAGACAGATAGACCTCTGTCACGAATACGAGTATTCTGGTTTGCCGTGGCAATCGCTAGTGTTACAGGAGAGATAGCACCACCTTCTGGAGAGACGCGCAACAGTTCATCACAGAGCTCGGCAATGCATTTCTCTGCTACGGGGTTCTTGTTGTCGTCGCAACTCCTCGTCGTTGGATAGGGAAGCAAACCCGGGAGGTGGATCGACTCTGATTACCGCGCATGGGCCAGATATTGGGCGTAGCTAAAGGCAGAGGAAGATGAGGCTAGCACGGAGAGTATCATGGCGTTCATTTTCTATTATGCAGGACGTGGTAAACGAAGTAGTTGTCTCGCGAACAACCAAGATGAGCTGTTTGTTCCTCTTCATTACATCGGCCGCAAATGAGATGCCAACTGCGTCAGGAGGGTCCGATGTAGACTGTTCAATCAAGCAGTTGGGAATCTTCTTAAATGAGGCACAAATGTGGCATGACTGTGAGCACCGGTCTAAGGCTTTATCAAGGTCCAATGCGTAGAAATAGCGAAGGACGACTTGTCTGAGCTGGTGTCGAGAAGGGTGGTTAAGTTTGACATGCAGTGCCGTAAGCAGGCTGTCTATGACAGGACGTGGGACGATGACACATTCGCGAGAAGGGGGAAAGGGCTCTTCTTTTCTAACGACCACTAGACCATCGAGAGAGAGGCAGCATTGAGATAGCGCTTGACATCTTTAATGTTGGTGGACTTCTTTGATGGACGGTACCCTGCTTGAGATGAGAGTGGGCACGGCGTAGGTCCGGACATTGTTGTTGGATTTGTAACCATGCAGAACGAGTGGTGAAAGGAAGAGTAACAGCGCCAGAGAGAACGTCATGGACGGAAATTGGGCGAACTACAGAGTCTTCAGCTTTAGAGATGAAGGAGCAAATCTGACAACGAGGGTCATCCTGTACAGGGTGGTGCGTTGCGGCTTGCGAAGTCGGATGGCAAGTTGGCAGAGCCAGAAAGGTGGAGGAGTGATAACTGGTATCGGCTGGCGGTGGAAGGTAAGGTGGTAACACGTGGGCTGGCGGAGAACTGGCCAGGGCACAGTTTCTCGAAAGACTGGACGCATGGTTTGCTGTCGGTCAGCACACAGGTTTGGAACTTGGACTGGATGATATAAGGAGCAAAATGTTTGATGTGGAGCAAAATATAAGGAGCAAAATGTTTGAAATGGACAGCGCTTCAACTATGCAGGAGAGCCCAGTAACTTGATGTTTTCTGGTCTTTGCGCTAGAGAAACCAGCAAGAAGCAATTTGTTGTCACGAAGGGCATAGAGTGTGGCACCGAGACCATTCATCTTCATGGAACCGTCAGTAACAATCCAAAGTAGGTCTTCAGGTTTTGGGATCACAATGGACTTGTTGGATGAAAGTGCTTTTTGAGCGTGGTAGAAGGAGTTTGTAAGAGCCTCAGACCAAACTACAGGGCTGCTTTATTGGTTGCCGGCGGTAATACTCTCGAGGGGGCGAGGATGGAAGCTGAACCTTCAATAACACGGCTGAGCATTTTGTAGGATCCAACGAAAGCGCGAAGATCACGGACTGTTTTTGGAGGGGTGCAGGAAGAGAGGGCTGCTATACGATGGGGAGATCGAGCACGAATTGAGCCGCGGGATCATATCCAGCCAAGGATGGTAGTTGAAACAGGAGCAATTATGGTTTTCTTGGCTGAGAGACGGAGATCACATTTATCTAGGGCTGTCAGGACTTTTCTCCAGTTGGATAAGAGCTCTGTAGGGGTGTTTCCACCGCAGTGGAGGTTATCAGCGATTTTGGCGACACGGCCATTTTGGAGGAGGTCACCGAGGACGCGGCATATGAGCTCTTCTAATGCTGTTTCTGAGCTAGGCATTCTCATGGCACAGCTAGTCTAAATGCGGAAGCCTTTGAAGAGTGTTGCTACACCACAGTACTTGAGGGAGCTTTTGGAAAGAGGTATCTGATAAAATGACTGAGACAGATCAGAGACGATGATATAGCGCCAGCAGGCAATCTTGCGAAGAGTGGAATCGACGTCGGGCATTAACGAGGGCCGGGGTTTACTGTATCTGCCAACATCGGAGAAGGCGGTAACCAGGCGAAAGCCACCACTCTTTTTTTTACGACGAAGGATGGGTTCAGGTATTCTACAACAACGTTTAGGTCCTCTGGACGTTGAAACAACCTTGTTTGTTCAAGTTCGTCGAACTTAGTCTGTAATTGCTCTAGTTGGCCTCGAGCATACTGGGGCATACGACCTTTTCGCTGGGGTGGTTGAACTGGGCCCATGTTGACGACACCTTCGATGGGACCGGCGGCACCGTTGTATACCCGGGTATAACAGGATCAAATACACGATCAAACTCCTTCAAGAGAGAGAGAGTCTTGAGCTTCTCGTCAGGTGAGAAAATGCCGTCAGAATCTACGGAAACTTGCTCTGAATGATATCTAGGAGTGTGAAGTGGTGGGGGTCCAAGGTCTTGTGAGCTGGGCACTTGTGTTTGTGGAGGAGAGCTGCTCATAACGAGGCGAGTCTGGCATATGTGGTCGTTCTTTTTAATAAAGATCGGCTCGATGGAACAATTGGCAAGTCTAAGCTTTCTGCCGACAGACTCAAGAATACCGGGTTTGGGCCATGCATTGGATGACTTAATTGATTGACAACGAAGAAGATTCGACCCGAGGCTCAACAGCAAGTTGGGTATCGGGTGGGAAGTCAATAGGGATATCAACCTCAAGGAAACCACCAGGCCAAATAGTGGTGTTCGTAGGACGTGTACGCAATACATGACAATATCTGACAACATGGTATTTGAAGGAACTATTGCGGGACCCATAGGGTACAATGTCAGAACCAGCGATGATAATTTCATGCTTTGCGGGTCGGACAGCAATGGCATTGCAGGTCATGAAAGGTGCTCCAGCGAGGATATCAACATCAAGGTCTTCTACAACAAGAGCCTCGAGGGTAAGGGTCTTGCCATTACGGGACAATGACAGGCGGGTTTCGCCGACAATAGAGAGAAGAGTACGACCATCAGCTTGTAACGCAAGTTGTGAAATCTTAGATATTGGACACCCGATGTCATGGGCAAGGGAGGCCTTTATCATGTTAGTCTCTGCACCAGTATCAATAGTAATTGGCAAAGCGGGTGTTGATTGTAGAAGACACGGAGATACGGAGATTGTGTAATATTTACACGGCAAGTAGCTGAGCGATGGTTGATGGGATGATTGCAGTCGCAATTACTCTGAGAGGTTGAATAATTGTCATCGGAATGATTATCTTCATACTCTTGGGTATCCTCGATATCTGTAACATGGCGTGCTCGGGCCATAAACTGACGATCTGAGTCAGGCAGGTATTGACAGGTACTTAAAAAGTGGGAGCGATAGTCGGGGCGGCCAGCTTGGAGGCATAGTGCACAGGATTTATTTGGACGAGGCTTTTATGTCGTTTTGCTCTTTGGGGTATGGGCGGTTAGAGGCAGGTGGGCGGTTGTCGATTCGGGGTGGTCTTCCAAAGCTTGTGTGGACTGTGCGCAGTACTTTGGCTTCTTCGCTGGTGCGTAATTCCTCTAACAAAGAGCCCAGGGCTTGAGATATCTCAGGCTTGATAGAAGCCAGTGTTCGACAACGGAGCTCTGTACTGTACCAGGTACGGTGCGTACCTTTGCTTGACCAAACGTGGAAGGTCTGGGTGGAGGAGTTGGAGCCAGGTAAGTTTTGATCTCGTCAAGCTGTTTTAAATTCATAACGATTGATTCGAATGAATTTGTTTTGGCCATCGTTGTCACTTTGCCGTCCTACATCTTGACATTATACACAGTCACTATATACACCACGTTACTCAAAATAGGCAAACGGAGAATTTAGTAATAACATTTATAGTCGTGTATAAAACTGTAGTCAAAGATACAATGAGCCAACGTGGCCGTGGTTCCTGCCCTAATTGTAAAGCAGAGTAGTTCAACCGCTCTAAACCACCACAATGTGGGATGTGTGGGTACGCGTTAGGAGGAACATTTGAACCATCAACTAAGAAAGTTAAATATTCCCCTCAAGCTGTAGAAGTCTCTGATGGAATTTTTAGCGTTAAAACCGGCAAAAGAGACGATCGTTGTTTTGTTACTACCGATGGTACAATGTGGTTTTGTAGTGTTGAGGGGTGCAAAATTGCAAGATCAGTTTCTCGCCAGTCATCCCGCTTAGCTGATTTTAGTTGCCGGCATATAGATGAAGCCAAAGGTTGCAAATCTCCGTCAGTCGCTATTCTGAAACCGGATTTAGATAACCTTGTCTGCAGTGAAAGCCTTAAAAGTTCGATGCAAACTGTATTAAGTGCAGGTGCATGTATGCAGAATTTTGTCATCCAGGTATCTGATAAAATGTTTTGTGTGTTGGGACAAACATCTGCAAGCAATCCTCTCGGATACTGCCATGTCCGCAAAGGTACAAATGAACTGAACAATTATGTTTGTACAGGAGAAGACTGTCGAGGATTCGCAGCAAAAGGGGAGCAAGTCAAAACGAAATCAATGTGCATGCACATAGCTTTGCTACGGTCGTGTTTTGACACCACTGTACTATAGTTTGGATATGGCTGGAGCCACAACGTGGTCATGTCTCTGACTTCTGAAGGCGAATCATCAGCAGGACCTATATATGCCGGTAGGATCTACGAATGATTTATCTGACGAAATCACCAAACGAAGTTCGACATTGAATTTGGCTGAAATGGTTAAAGTACTTCCTTATGTTTTGCCGCATGAGCTATTGCAGGCAATAGCAAAGAGAGACGCTTTAACATTCCTCGGCGCTGTTAATGGTTGGTCTACTAATTTCGAATCCGATCAGTTGGAAAACTGTCAGCTATGTGGGTCCAAGTTAGGTGATCGCCACCACCGCCACCACCGCCACCACCACCGCCACCACCGCCATTATTATTAAAATTAAAACAACCATTATATATCACAAATATTATTGGCTTGCTACCACCTGGCCCTTCACCACCATCGCCACCACCGCCACTACTGCCACACTACCTCAACTGCTACTGCTGCATGTATTATTGTACTTGTACTATCCTGCAAATTTTATTTTTTAGAGTAATATTAATAATATTAAAACAACCATTATATATCACAAATATTATTGGCTTGCTACCACCGCCACTTTCGCCACCATCGCCACTACTGCCTCACTACCTCAACTGCTACTAGTGCTGCATGTATTATAATTGTTCTTGTACTATGACTATCCTGCAAATTTTATTTTTTAGAGTAATATTATTAATATTAAAACAATCATAATATATCACAAATATTATTGGCTTGCTACCACCGCCACCACCATCCCACCACCATCATCATCCGCACAATCTCCTCATTTTGCCACCACTGCTACTATGTCATCTTATACAGGGCTGTGTGTAGAATTCATCAGGGGGCAACCCCCTGCCCCCCCCCCCTCTGTGTACGGCCCTGATCTTATTATATACAATGTACCACTGCAATGCCCCACTGTTTATAATATTAATAAATATACATAAATTTAAATATTTAATATGTGTTGCTATATAATATAAATATTAAATATTATTAAAACTATGTTACACAGTGTGGGCGTGTTTGTGTATGTCCATTTTAACTAGAAAAATTAAGCATGTATGATTCCATGACAAAAAATTAACATTTTAACTCACAAATTAATGTTTGAATAATATTTTATCAGAAATCAATATGATTGGCCGACCACCACGACCACCACAACATACCCAAGAACCAATCAGCTACAACCTTTCAAGCAGTGCTGTCTGCAATTGTGCTGTCTGACTCAATTGATTAATTGATTTTAGGTGCACATGTGGGCATTGTACTGATTGTAGTGATACCTGTGCTGTGAAGAGATTCTTACGTACGATGGAAAAGACGCTGAATGTATTATACAGCACTGGGACTATCCTGTTATTACGCACCGAGCACTCGAACAGTATATAACCGCAAATTAACAAGCAGAACTCAAGACGCGGCCGAAATGAGTACAGTAAGTCAAATTAATTTCACTGAATTTTGGTCAGTTTTCATCAGTATTTTCTATATATTCGCAATAATCGCAAATGGTTGTATTTTGTAAGATTTTGAAACATGTATTTTAATCTATGTATTTTAATCTATTTTGAAATATATAAACAAAGCGTGTAAACAGCACCGTCGTGTGTAACAGTGCATTCATGAAGGTAATAACTCAGTGTCATGTTTGATTGTTAATGTTTAGATACCTTCGTGCAGTGGCGTATATCGGTGGATAGTGAGATGGATATTCGGCATGCTTGGATGGGAAAACTCTAGACCGCTTCCAGCATGCCTGTATAATGAAATCAGGAAGAGGTATCCGTCTCAAAGCAACAGGCTGGATATAAATAATCACAGCAGAGAACTGAGAGCGTGATAAAAAGTGTATACTATGTTACGTAAACTGATATTGTAAATTATAAGTATAAATTAACCTAGTCAAATAAATGGTTCTTCACTCGGACTCTGTCGCGTGAGTATGATCCACTAAGAAGTATATATAGTGCGCTCGGGCCTCGGTGGTTAATACGCCTGTTGTGAAAACATAATTTCTTGACTGATAAGGCCAGAAGGAATTAAATTAATTACGGCCTAGAATAGTATTCATTTAACGCAGCTAGTACACAACCAGTGACTATAAGGAATAAATTGCGCGCAAACAGCATATAGATACGGCACGTTTCAGCAAACGCAAATGGACGAAAACATGACACACTTGAAGCGTTAACAAGCAACGAGCTTTCTGTATGACGTGCGAACTGAGGTACTTTAGTACTTATAGGCCTATTCCTAATAGTTTATTGCGTTCCGGTATACTCAACTTTGCTTACTTCAATTAATTTCATTTCGCCTATTCTGTCATAAATTCTAACTATAATTCTAACTGTATAAATTCTAACTATATCCAACTATAATATCTACAATGGACTATATACAACGAAAATATCTACAAGTCAATATGCCTATATCTATAATATCTACAACTAATGACATCTGAAACCTACACTGCTACTACAACATTGATTTCGCATTTCGGCGGCTTATAAGCGATAAATCGTCGTATGGTGATATCATTGCATTGATTTAACCAATGTATCGCATCTACATAAGGCAGATTTATTTGGATTAATTTGTTTAAATTATCAAAAAATCCCAATTCAACGCAGTTGAAGCTACATTGTTTATAGTATTTACAGATAGTGAAGAGCGCACTGTGTGTCACACTGCATACGTCATCATGACCTCTTGGCCGCGCGAGGAATTTCATCAGCTAAAATTTTCATAGCCCAACTTTAAACGCAAAATTCACAAACTTCTAGTTCGAAGTTTTCAACAAGGTTGGTATTAAAATGATCAGAAAAGATGAAATTGTCAGATAATGCAAAAATAAAAAAATCGAAATTTTCATTGCATATATATACACTTCAAGAATGTGAATTTCCACAATTACTACAGTCAAAACAAGGTTCCTAATTATATATTAATATAAGATATGCCAATTTTTATTGGGTTCACATTTTGCCCCTTTTTTCAAGTGTATGTATGTATTTCTTGACTATTACTGTTTCCTGACTCAAAAATGACGTCGACTGACGTTTGAAGTCAGTTTTGGCCGATTTTGAGTGTATACACTATACATCAGTGATTGTGTTTGATCGATAAAATCAGTATCCAAAGTTTATGCTATATATTGTTTGCAATTTGTGCTCTCACTATTGTAGTTATATTATAATAACAACTGTTCACTTAACCCTCATAAGGTGATAAGGATTAAGTTACGGTATCATAGTGCAAATAATTGAGCTAATATTCGCCTAATAATATGATCTGGGATATTAAATGTCGGCGATTCCAGGAAAAGTTTACATTTATAACATTCTGATCGTATTTCACTTAATCTCTTCATTAATTTTCTCTTTCGGTTTCGATTAGCCGGTTCTCTAGTTTTGGCATATAAATCTGTGCGGTTAAAATTTAAGGACTATTGCAGTTGTACACAGGCCGCTAATGGCTATTTGTAACGGTAATGGTAAAGATTGGATTGCATATGTCATTGCAATACTCATAGCTATTTTAGCCATTGTGTTGAGTGTCTGTGCATATTTGCAGTGTACAAAAGACAAGCCGAACGGCGGCGAAGAGTCTGCGATAGAAAGTCTTAAAGCAATGATCAAGAAACAAGTGGCTAATTTAACCGACAAAGCTAAACTCGAACGTGAGGATACCAACCGTACCATTTCAATTCTCAGTAATGAAGTAACGCAACTTAAACACGACTACATGGAACTTCTCAGCGAAACCGGAGCGCTGAACAAGACAATAAATTACACGACCAGTGCCACAGTTCAACGAGCTTTGAACGAGTTGAATAATGTCAAAGAAACTCAGAGAGTTATTCAGAAGAAATTGGAAGCATTGTCTCATCTTAATGATACCGCTGAAGATTATTTGAATTTGGGGAAAGAAGTGAAAAATCTTGCAACGAAGGTGAATCAGAATATAACTCATCTTGAGGAGAACCTAAAAGATAATCGTCGAGAATGGGAACGAGCCCTTGACAACAAGACATCAGAGATCAAGTCAGACGTTTTGGCTCTTGAAAACAAATTGGATGAATTTGAGCTCAAACTTGAGAACCCCAAATTTGAGAACCGCACTCAGAACGGAACTACTAATGGCGTTGGAGTGATGCGCCTGACTACCAAAGTATGTAACCTCATGTTTTACACTATAATCTTCTGGACAACACTGAACGTTATTGTACATTTTTAGTTAACATATGTATAGGATAAACACCGAGAAGGAGGGTTTTATGTCAGATAATGACCCGAGGACGCGCAGCGTCCGAGGGCATTATCTGACATAAATTCCGACTTTCGAGATTATTGATTGAGGAGGTTTTCCAACAAAGTTTTGTCTGCTTTGTCCGCTTTGAACGACGATTTTCTGAGTTTTCCTTCACCTTTTCAGCTAATTAATATTCAAGGTGATTATTAAAAATAATACTGTTAGTATATCACCTCGGTACACGAAAGAAAACCGACTCAATCAAGAGATTAATATAACATATTTATTATACTTCATACATTGTAGATCTAATAAAGTTTGTTCTTCAGAGTTGAACTGAATGTTTAATAAATTATCTTCTTCGATCAGAGTTCAAATAAAAACATAGACGACAACTATACATATGCTTTCAAGATTGTAACGATTTGCAGTAATTAGTCGCTATACATAGTAAGGAGTCGCGCACAGGAAGGAAAGAATGCCTAGTGAAAAAATATCCTGCCGCGCCTCTATTCCCAGTCGTCGCTTCACGTATACTCGGTCTATAACTTAATTCTAGATTCAGTAGTTTCTAGCATGAAATCCTACTATCTTTCCACGAAAAAACATAACGTGAAAATAGAACTGCAACTGTCCCATTAGAGCAATCGAAACTATAACGCGGTATAATAAAGGTATTTTGTTGGCATCTCACTCGATTCAATAGTTGGAGGGTGTAATTGTTGATGGAAATTATTGAGTGGAACTTTATATACATGCATCTTATTATGACATTTACCCATAATCTATAACATGACAGTACTCTAATCCCTACAATATATATATAAATGAACTGGCGGACTTGTGGTTAGAGCTTAACAACTGGCCTCTGTAGCTCAGTTTTGTTAGAGCATGTTGCAAATAACAAAGGTCTACTTTTGGGCTTATTCACCTCAATACAAACTACAAAGTAATATAATTCAAGAGCATCGATCAGCAGAAAGATCGCCACGGATACTATACAATGTATTTTTCCTATTGTAACTTGCAACCCCACCTTCATTTCTATTCCCAACACGAAAGTCTCTTATGATATCATAGGCTAGCGAGGGATTTCAACTTCGCAATCCAATATGCTATACTAGTTTCATTGATTGTTAAAATATCGAAGGTTTGTCTTGCATACACACTATATAAGTTTATGGTGGTGTTTCACCAGACTTGCTATATTAATTTGGCCTACTTTAAAACCTTTAAGTTTACTAGAAAACGCGGAGAGCTTGTCATTGACCGGTACTCGTAAAAGGTTTACTTTTGGGCTTATTCACCTCAATACAAAGTAATTCAAGAGCATCGATCAGCAGCAAGATCGCCACGGATACTATACAGTATATTTTTCCTATTGTAAATTGCAACCCCACCTACATTTCTATTCCGACACAAACATCAAATTAAGAATTTTTAGTGTTCCGGTGTTCCGTGTTCCGGAATGATGCGGTATTCCGTGTTCCGGTGTTCCGTTGTTCCGGTGTTCCTGGTTTTACTAATAGCTGAGATATTGCCCGAAAACATGCGAATTTCCCGCGCGTTCAATCTTAGTCCGGGAAACAATAAAACGAAGGAAAATAGAGGGATTGCTCGCAGTCTAGAAAACATGCGGCCCGAAAATATGTGAACCGAAAACATACGGCCCGATGTCGATGACATGAGACATTGCCCGAAAACATGTGAACCGAAAACATACGGCCCGATGTCGATGACATGAGAAATTGCCCGAAAACATGTGAACCGAAAACATACGGCCCGAAAACATGAGACATTGCCCAAAAACATCTGTCTTCACCATTTTATATTTTTGTCCCATTCCACCCCTCATACTTGACTAATCTTGTCAAATCCCCCAAACCATGGAAGCAAAATTTTTAAATTTTATTGAACAAAGAGGATTTTTGTAATATGCTAGTTTGTCACCATAGAGCGAAATAAACAGAATATAGAACTTTATAAAAACAAAAAATAGCACTAACCTGGCTTGTAATATTTAGGTCAGACACAGGCTCAACAGGACAATCCTAGCCTGCAAGCAGGTTGTATATGATGGCCCCACATTATGCCCCACATACGGGGGTTGGGGATCCAACATAATAGTAAAATCCCCCATTAGGTCAGGCGTAACCAGTGGGCGTAACTAAGTGTCAAAAGAGGAAAATGCCCCACATGTCCCCCACCTTTCCTCGAGGTTGGAGGGTGGGGGGGGGGATTACAACTGACAAGTGCATAATTCACAAATCAAACTACACCCAAGCATTTGACTATTGGAAGTTTAGTTGTACATACACTTGTAGAATTAGATAATATTGAATAGTTAAATACTGACGTGTATGTTGCTTTTTGATAAATTAAGCATAAATATGTATGCTTGTCATAAGGATTTTCTTTTCCTTATTTATAGGGTCCTGACTTCACAATGTCCTTAGATGGGCATGACAAATTATGTGGATTCCAAAAATCAATGTTCCCCCTGTGTATTTATGGGGGACAAGACACATTCAGTGGAAGAATAAACTTTCTTCGAATATGGACGACAAACAACAAACCGGGGGTCATAGGCAGATTCTACTTTGACTATCTTTCAGAAAGCCACAGTAAGTTAATTTTGATTTCCAAAGTAGATGCTAATGGTACTGTAAATCCAGGTCATTTGGGTTACATTTCAAGCGGCTAGTCACAAAAGCATGTTAAAATTGTAAAATTATGTCAGCCCCACCTTGGTAGCAAGGTTGGTGTGGCCCTAGCTCACCTCATTCCCCATGTTCCAAAAGTGCAGTACACCACATCTGAGGTTTAGGCTCACAATATGGCAAGCTACTATATTGTTGTAATAACTATAATACAATTTATTTAGACTTTTTTCTCCTTTAATTTTTATCTTTTCATTTTGTAATTGTTTAACTCTTGGAATTTCATTTTTTAGCACTTCCCCAAAGAATTCGAGTGGACAAAGGAACCGAAACAGTTATGATGACTACCATGCATTGCTATTTACAGCAAAAACTGAATAATACAGATGATGCAACTGAAACAGTTTTGTTTGGCCCTTCTACCCAGAATAAAATTGAAAGATGGTGGCGGGAATTGCTAGAACGACTGGAGAGATATTTTAAGGACCTATTAAATGAATTGTTGGAAGCGGGAGATTATGACCCTTCTGATGAAACTGACAGGTATGGCATGTTGCCAAATATTACATGTGGAAACTTTTTGAAATATAGACTTAGCTTTTCAGAACAAATTACATTATTTACCTTTTCACTCCCCTAGGTCAATGCTCGCATATGTATATATATCTTTGCTGCAAAAAGAGCTGGATATTTTTAAAAACACAGTCTGTAACAACCATAGAGGACGAAAGCAAAGAAACAAGCATCTGCCTGATGGAATTCCAGAACTGACATTTTCCAGTTTCCTGAGCATTACGGAGGCACCAAGTATGAAACACATCTAAGTGATGAAGATTTAGAAGAAGTTGCAGAGGTTTCAAGTATTCTTGAAGATACCAACGACTATTTAGAGCCCCAATTCCATACAGAGTGTGAAAGGGTATTTCCTCAAGCAAAGGAGGTTCTTCCAAGTGAAGCTTTACTTGCATTTCGCTTTCTGAAGCAGAATTTTGATAGAACAGTAATTGATCATGAATAAATATTCGCCGAATAACTCTAAACAGCCAGATATGAACATATGTTTTATTCAATAAAATAATAGACAGTATGCTTTATTGTTACTACTTTTATTTTAAATTCAGATTACTAATAAAACCCATTAATTAAGGGTAATGCTGTACTGTTTGCATTTTATTAGCCACTGGCACATGATGAGCTCTTGTTTCCAATATTTCACAAAGTAGGGATGCACCAAATATCATATTCATGCTCTGGATATCTGGCCCGTTAAGGTTCTGGCCTTCTTTTCAGGTTAAAAATGATGTAATATAGTTCAAGAAGTATGCATATTTATTATGTTTTTACTTGAATGAGTGTAGACAAGCCGGCAATATTATCAGATTTTTCATGCTCACTTGCAACTGGACTGCTCACAAGACTTTTCCAACCATGCATATGAATCGATGTTGGATTGTGAAGTTTTTTCCTATCATTTCAAGTCAATATATTCTAAACAGTAAACACCATCACTAATAATTATAACCAATACAAATAACTATTGAAATTAACCTTGAATGATTTGTCCTGAACCTATAACCAATATTATCCAGCAGGATAATCTGGCCGGACAGCTTTCAACTATCTGCCATTTTAATGCACAGTATCCGGCCAGATAGTACAGTAAAATGCTCTATCCGGTAATCTCCTATTATAAATCATTTTTAATTTTAAATATTTGAAGTTCTGAGAATGTCTTCAGACTTTGCTTCTTAAAGGGTATTGGCAACAAAAAAATTATTGCTTCATCTGAAAGAGCATGGAAAAATAAGCCGATTGGCCGTTTAATGCTCTATTCTATCTCATCTAGTACCGAAGTTATACTCAAAAATGTGCAAAATATAAGTTGCTGATTCAGCACAACGTGTGACGTCATTGGTTGGGTAAGTATGTTTAATGAATACTAAACTGAAGCATAGCTCAGTTATTATGGACCCAAATCAAACGAAATTTTGCATACTGATTGTACATGATGAGACGCATTGAAAAACGTTCCAATTTTGTTACCAAGGTAACAATGTCGTTCCCAGGCCCCTTGCGCCAATTTTATAAAACAGCTTTATTCATGGTACTTATAAGAATAAAGTAATATCAGAAGTATGTGTACCATACCTATGCATACCAAAAGTTTACTTGCATGATAATAATTCGAAAATGACATACACATAGATAAATGTAACTACAGGGTGTATCAAAAAAAGCGCAATCCTCGACTGAAATGTAAATTGCTAAACAAATAATAGACAAAAACGTTAAAGTTTGCATTCATTTTAAAGCGTAGCCATTCAGCTTTCTAACAGTGGGTTGTTTCTTAAATTTGACTCATTGGTTCGCGGGTAATAATACTTTACGTTATTGCGATTGGAGATTAAAAAAATTGAGATGGAATAACAAATCGTTCTCATAAAAATAACTGATTTTTTCATTAAAACAAACAAATGTTGCATTTTATTAAATGGATTGTAACAATAAGTATAATTACGGCTTTTCTTCCACTATTTTTAACTCAGTTTGAAACTTCAAATGCGATATAATTTTGGCTTGGACCATCTAAGCTGACTGACATCAACTTGCTATAATTTCTGTTTACATTACATCGCAATTCGATGACATTCGTTTAGGATTTTCAAACAACCTGGTATCTTTTAAAATACTTTTAATTTGTTCTTACGTGGTTTTCCAGATGTAGTGACGACAACATTAAAGTTTAAAGAAGAAAATTCTAACATTTAAACCGACTAAACAATAACATAGTAAACTTGCATAATTAAACAGCAACTACAAATGATAGGTTTTACTAAATCTTTTCCTGTGCAATTATTACTAGCATTGGAGACAAGGATAATAGTTTGTTTGAAAGAGAAAAGAACAGGCTTTGAAGTAAGCCTAAAAGCGTTTAACTAGAAATAGTATTTCGAAAGTTATTAAGCACAAAAGATGAATTGCGTTTATTTTGATACACCCTGTAGTTATTCAAAATCAGTGTAAGGGGCCTGGGAACGACTGTGTTGCCTTGACAATTAGGTTAGAAGTATTTTCCCATGTGTCTCATCATATACTATCTGTATGCAAAATTTCATTTGATTTGAGCCAATAATAACTGAGCTATGCTTCAGTTTACTATTCAATAAACATACTTACCCAACCAATGACGTCACACGTTGTGCTGAATCAGCAATTTATATTTTGCACATTTTTGCGTATAACTTCGGAACCAGATGAGATAGAATAGAGCAGTAAACGGCCAATCGGCTTATTTTGTCATGCTCTTTCAGATAAAGCAATAAAATTTTTTATTGCCAATGTCCTTTAAGGAATATACACAATTATATGTGCAACATACTAAACAACTAACAGTCATGTACCTCGCATGTTTTCACATTATTGTACATCTTCATGGCTTGTCCAAAGATAATAGTTCACAGTATTTTTTGCATTTGTGTTGTACAAAAAATGTTTCTATTGCATTGGTTGAAAGATTTCCAGCACAGAAATAGATGCCATCACTTTCATCATATAACTCGCTACTTGCTATTTCTGGGTCACAAAGCACAAATCATACGCCTTGCAGATCCACAATTATAAGCTGCTTTCCTGATTTGACAAAAGAGTAATGGACAAACGATTCTGCCTTCATAGCAAATTCACTGACATCTTTTAGAACAATGTCGCCAGTGTTATTCACATATTTTCTGAAACTTCCTTCAATGTAGGACTCTACTGTAACAAACTCACCCTTCATCTCTGCATAGTACAGCTTGGTATAGAGGAATGTATCGCCGAATTGAAGAGGAGCACCATCACGCAACAATAATGAAAAGTGCCTAGCAAGAGCATGCATCTGTACCACTTTTCTAGTGTGCGTATCAAGGGACTGAAAATGCTCTACAAGCTCCGCAACCCGATCAGACCTATAACGTTTGACCACAAACTTTCCATCCAATCCCTTGAGACCAGTAGCTAAGAATGCATCACGGCAGGCACCACTTGCAAACTTATCAACGCTAATTGACAACACTACTTCCACTGGATCTTTCCAGCTCCTTCTCTCAACATCAAATGCTTCTAACTGTAAAGTGACAATGTCCTTTTTCGGTGGGATCAACTTCCCGATCTTAATGAGTTGACTGAGACTGAGAGGGACAGACTGAGGGAATACAGACCGAGACGACGGTGCAATATTGGAGCAACTAGGCACGTTGACATATGATATTGGTAGTGACAGGTTATGTGCTTGAGTGTGGTCTTCCTTTTCTTTAGAACTTCTGCTCTTTCTCAGCTCGGGTTCTTTTTCCACAAACCGGATGTGAATAAGTTTCCAGTTCTTAATCTGATTCACACTTGTATAAGATGGTCCTCTCTCCCCCGCAAGAACGTCACATTGATATCCTTTATCAATCTCGAAATGGTCTTTGCATGCGTGTTTGATATTTTCCATTGTCTTATCTTCGTGTGGAAACGGTACCATTGTCAATGGGCCAATTCTTGTATATTTTGTGCCTTTCCTTCGACAGAGGCAGATAGTCGCTGTACTGTCAAATATTCAGTCTCGTCTTTTTCTTCCTTTTTCCCCATCCTTTTGCGGGACATTTTATTCCTAAACACATCCCACTGCTTCCGCTTTGACATTTTCGTTGGTTTAGATAATACATACATGTCCAATATCACGATGCGACACGGATCGTGAATATAGTTCACGATCCGTAACACATGGTGAAACAATCACGATGCAACACCGATCGTAAATATAGTTCACGATCCGTAACACATGGTCAAACAATTACGATGCAACACAGATCGTGAATGTACTTCACGATCCGTAACACATGGTAAAAAACCTCAAGCTGTGCATGTTTACCTCCAACAGTGCAACAAACACTAATCATGCAACTGATGCCCACTAAATCCGTACGATCCGTGCACATCGTGCGTATGGTGAAAATAAACAGATATTTTCATTCTTATTACTGTACATAAGTTTACATTTTCATTTATCATGCAATGTGTTTTGTGTAGTGTGTATGCGTCGTTCTCCAAAAGGCGAAACTAAAAGGAATGAACATATATTTTCATTGTTATTACCTCATGTATATTATACATTCCAAATAATATATCAATGCATGTGTATGCCTCGTTCTCCAAACACCACGAATAAACATATATTTTCATTGTCATATATAACCTCCTATATGTTCACATCTTCATATTATCAATACTAGACAGGGGCGGATTCAGACCGTTGCAACCGTAGCATATGCTACGGTCAGATTTTCCCCGAGATTATATTTTTCCAGGGTGTACCTTCTTTAAAGCTATTACAAACTAAAACGTTATACTATTTTTAATTGCCGATATTTTCCATTGAAACTTGGTGCAATTTTTTTCAAATTTACTAAATCATAATATTGATACAATTTTATCGAGTTTTTATTTCATTTTGGATAATTAATTCGGGTTTTTCTCAAATTTCCGCCTGAAATACTGCCTGTATTTGCGGGTTTTGCACTAGTACTATATCACATCGTTCTGAAGTCGTAGCATTTGCTTATTCTGATTGGCTTGCTTCGTCTAACCGTAGCAAACCAATCATAGCGCTGTATTTGGAAATTTTTGCAGCGGTCAGATTGAAACTGACCGTTGCAAAAATTCGCAAATACGGCGTGCTGATTGGTTTGCTACGGTCAGACGAAGCAAGCCAATCACAATGAGGCAAAATGCTACTGTTTGAATTGCAATAGTCGCATCGACTTCAGAGCGATGCTGGCTAAGCCTGGCTTGTTATTGTCGTGTCGGCTACTCGTTGTAATCGAATAGTCGGTAAATTTTAATCGCCGCTCGTTGCAAGGAGAAAGATATGGTTTCTACAGGACTACAATCTACAGATCCACTCCACGATCTTCTGTGTATAATGAACGAATGTAACGTGTTTCATTTAACGAAAAGATGCGCGAAAGAATTCTGATCGAAAGCTTTTGGTGTGCGATTATTGGCATAATTTGCATTTCCCGCGATGTGAACTGTGAAGAACAGCGCTGTTTGAATCACCTCCGTGTCAGGTCAGTCTCATGAATAGTATATTAAATATGTAAATAACATATCGAATTTTACACAGTTTATGCGTTTCGAATATATTACCATATATTTGCTGGTAATAGTGTGAGTGGCTATCAATGGCCACTCATACTATTTGATAGCCATTGGCATGCCATATGTGTTTATATTATTTAAAGAAATATGTAAGTTAATCTCCTATATATTTTATATCTTAGACTTTGCTCATGTAATTATTAGTTGTAGACCTGTTGTAGTCTATAAAGACTAGTGAGTAGTGTAAATGAAATTTATAGAAATAGTTACACTCTGATATATTATATTGTAGTTTACATGTATACTAACAGAGTTTAGAATTACAACAGCTGAGCTGCTTCCTGGGATAACGTATCATAAACATATGGTTAGATGTTTCAACTTTCAAATCCTTGTATACCTTACTTGTATTGAAATTCGCGTCATATACTCATTTTCGTTCAGCTTTAAATTCGCGCATTCCAATTTCGCGAAACTTGCTCACGCAGCTTTAAATTCGCGCAAGTAATTCAATACTTCAATATTTGTCAAAACAAAATTCATGATAACAGTAAAGCGTATAAAGTTCAAACTTCAAAATGTATCATTTGCCTAATACAATAACAATAACTAATTTGTATTAGCATCCCATATATTATAGGCTCGTACATGGTATTGCCTTACATTATATTATTTATTAACAACGAATAAATATTACACCGCAAAGCTTTTCGGCGGATTATATTTGCCGCAGTACTAAAATTTGCGCACCAAGCTCCGCGCGAATTCCTGCAGTACTGCTCGAATTTTAGTACAAAAAACATATACAAATAAACATTTTTCCTAATTGCCGTTGTGTTGCTGTTTCAAGATGATCTACAAATAAACATTTTTCCTAACTTGGAGATAATCTATATACAGTACAGAAAATATTTTTCGTGACTGCCATAAGTTGTCCTGCTGTTTCGGGATGATCTATATAATATATATGCTGCTGCTTAGCCAGATAAACTGTCGTTGGGCCGCTATTTCAAGATGATGTACATTTGAAAACTTTCGAACTACTGTTACCTTACTTTTTCAAGATAATCTGTTGTTCGAAGTGGTATATTGATGAATAAATTTTGTAACTTTTGTGCGTTTTTTTCTTATTTTGGTGTGAAAAACAGGCACTTTTCTACAAAGTTTAAATCTAATTTCGATGCTCAGAATGCAGGAAATGGTACTTGCGAGCTTCAAATTTCAAAAATTTTCTGGGGGGGCATGCCCCCAAACCCCCCTAGGTAGGGGGACCTGGCATGTTGACCTCATCCAAAATGCTACGGTCAGGTTGAGACCCTGAATCCGCCCCTGCTAGAGACGCATTATGCGTCTCTATGAACTTCGGCAAGCATTTATTAATATAATAAACAGATATTTTCATTCTTATTACTGCACATACGTTTACATTTTCATTTATCAATGTGTTTTGTTCTTACAATAACTCATATATGTTTACTGACATTTTCATATATGTATATGTGTATGCGTCGTTCTCCTATGCGTCTCTATGAACTTCGGCAAGCATTTATTAATATAATAAACAGATATTTTCATTCTTATTACTGCACATGCGCGTTTACATTTTCATTTATCAATGTGTTTTGTTATTACAATAGCTCATATATACTTACTGACATCTTCATATATGAATAAATATTAATATTATCAATGTGGCATTGACTAAATTATCAGTGTTATATATTAGCTACCTTATTTGCTCAAAATGTCTATAGTCATGATTTGTTTGTGGCTAGTGCGGTTTGCCTCGCATGCATTACATTTAAATATTGAAGCTCACTCAAGTAGGATTTTAACTGGTATATATTCACTGACACCGCACTTGTCTAATTACTGGTTGTCTGGTTGGCTTTTTCTCATGTGATATCATCCAACAAAATCACTAGGATTACTGTTTCTAAGTTAATAAGTTACGACACTAAGTCTAAGAATCACTGTTACGAATTTAAAGCACTAGGAATCACTGTTTTAACTTCATAAGTTACGACTAGGCGACAGTTTAATTGACCCTTTTCATACTATAGACGCATTATGCGTGTCTATGGACTTCGGCAAGCATTTATTATTAGCCTGGTTGAGTGTGTCTTCAATATAAAGACGGACGCAACATGCTAGACGAACTATGTTCAATTTTTCGTCTGACACCCACACCAGTCATAGCTCGTCTACGGCACGCATAATGGTCTGGTGCCCGCGTCTTCATAATAACGACACGTAACAAAACTACATATAGATTATTCATCTGATTATTTGTCCCGTCTTTATACAACACAAATAGGAGTTTGACTAATGGTCGAGGGTCGAGGGTCGAGGGTAATAGGTCGAGGGCGAGGGTAGAATGTCGAGGGTCGAAAAAAATGTCGAGGGTCGAAAAAAAATGTCGAGGGTCAATTTTTTGACTCTATGATTTGTTCGCAAATTTTTAGTAACAGAATCAAATACTTACCATTACACATACGTATCACACTTAATTAACTTGCTTTTGCCCAACGTCAATGTTTTAGCCCTATTATGGAATTTGCCATGGCGCAGAGTAAGTATGCTTCGCCATTAAACGCAAAGTTTAGTTTGGACAAACAGATATGTTTTATACGCCGATGTATACTAAGTAACGAATAAACCCTAATTTGATCATTATCAACATTATGAAGTTAACTGATCAAATTTCGATGGCTGCAGTCAAAAGGCGCCGCTTCACATGCCATTTGATAAACATTAACATAACCCTTTGCGACGTTTGTGCACTCATGATTTCAGCGATCATTACGATCCACAAAAGCGATATATAGCACTGTATAGCTATGTTTCCCGCATGATCTAGAAACCCACGACTAAATACTAATGTCGTATAAACACTGTAAAATAATTTGTAAAGCCGTGATTTTCTAACTATCAATATTTTCTGCATCGTGGCAAACGTTGACAGACAGCCAATTTTGTCTTATGTGCATGCCTACGGCAGCAAACATTTTTCGCACAGTCACAGATAATTTTACAACTCATCTGAAATATATATACGACTGGGGCTTCCTGAGTCAACAGCGAGGCAATACAGTCACATTTTTATCACATCATCAAACTAAATCTTAGGATCAAAGAAAATTGCTATACTTACACTGTAAAATCAAAACAGTTAAATTAACCATTATTATTTGTCATGACCAAAATAAATACGTTATTTTAACCTAAAATAAACTGGTTAAAATCATTAACCAATTTTTTTTTGTTATATTAACCGATAAAACAACAGTTGTTTCAACTTTTTTACCAGGTTATAGTGAAAACCTATTTTACCCCGTTAAAACAACTTATGTTAATGGTTGTACTGCAGTGGATTCAACC